CCCGTTGTAGTATGTCAAAATATGTACTTGTCAGTAAAGATCTGGAAAAAGGGATTAGTTAGGTGTTCTTACATCTACGCAAAACCACATGCAAACACACACACATACGTGTATCATTATATTGGAATATCTTCAGAAGTTTCAGGCTTGTTTTATGATTGTGTTGCAGGTGTTGGTGTTCTACTTTGTACGATGTGTTTTAGCATTCTCCTGCTGTGTCTGCGAACTCTATTTCTACAAGTGAGTTTACACTCTTCTGAAATGCAATTGGGCGTCCTAAGTGCTTTGGCTTCCAGATTTTGTGCTCATTATATAGATATCTATATGCATATGATGTGGAAGATGGTTTGTTTGTGTGTGTGACGCAGGGCAGTTTGTAAGAAGTTTGGTTTGCATGTGGGCCGTCTGATGTTGGCATTCCTCGTCCTGAGCACAGGAATGTTCTGCTCGTCTGCAGGTTGGTCAGATTTATTCATTTGTTATTCGTTTCATTCTCTGTTGTCATTTCTTACCAGTTCTGTCAATCTATTTACTTTCACTCAAATACAATACATATATATTGACTGCCTTTCTAATTGCATCGTCTCGAATAACAAAAATATGGAGCAGAACTGCCTTTTGGACAGTGCGCAGTATATATTTTAGAAGGAACATTTTATATTTGTGATATATTTCTGGTATGCATGTTCACTTTATTCCCCTGTTCCTGTCAGATGAATAAGGCTTTGCATAGGTAACATACTGAGACTGTGACATGTGTCTATCACAGGTTGACTTTTGCTGATCTGTTCTCCTCTTGTTGTTCATTCTCCTCAGCCTTCCTGCCTTCCTCTTTCTGCATGTACACAACGCTGGTTGCCATGACAGGATGGTTTCAGGACTCAACCCCGTTAGCCATTACGGGTGTGGCTGCCGGTGCCATCGTTGGATGGCCGTTCTCTGTTCTGATTGGGTAGGGTCGTAAAACTAAAATACCTACTTGTCTGCAATACGTTTTCCAGACAGACATATCAAAATAAATTGCTTTTAATACAGCTTTGTTTTCTCTGCAGGCTCCCGATTGCCTTCGACCTGCTGATCTTAAAGAGGCAGTGGAAAAGTTTTATCACCTGGTCTGCTGTTGCTCTGCTTCTGCTTCTGGTGAGAATATTTTTTAAATATCCATGTAAAACAAATAAGGCTTTAAATCTACATATGACATGACAATGGTGTATTTAGATGAGTTACAGTGTATCCTTTGTGTCTTTCTCAGGTACCCCTAGTGGCAGTGGACTCTTTCTTTTATGGCAAATTGGTCATTGCTCCACTCAATATTCTACTTTATAATGTCTTCACACCACATGGTCCAGATCTTTATGGTAATATACAATAAAACAGCACACATCCTTAATACATCATTTTATATCAAGATCAGTCGTAAAAATTTCCAGTAGCACTTGCTCCCTCAGTGTGTTATTTTTTAACATAGAACTCTTTTGGACTGACAATGACATTTTTATAGTATTTAACTCAGCATCACAGACCCCTCTCTTTGTTAGGCTGCCTGGTTCATTACAGCAACTGCACCACAAAGAGTAAACCGAAACTGAATTGTTTAGCTAGCGATAGTGATTTTATGTGTGCTGTGTGCGATACAGAATGTGAGCCATGATTAACAATCTCATGTCACACCAAGAAATGTTTGACATGCTGCACGCTACATTTAAAAACACCATTAGCAGATTTTTTAATTATCTCTAAATCTCTAAAGACAGTAAAGTTGTACAATGCTGGAAGCGATTATGTATGTTTGAGGTATTTATTATAGCGATTGTCTGGCTGATGGAGCAAATGGATTTTAAAAGAAAACATGAACAATTTAAAGCTGCACTGTTTTTATTGGACTCCAGAGGGCATACCAACATTAACACTAATCACATGAAGCCCTTTGAAAGTCTGCCAATAGGTGGTATTACCTTCTTCAAGTTTTAATCCAAAGACAGTAACAAAATTTATAAAACCATGAGTCTCCATCATTATTCAGTGTTTTATCTGTAATAACAAATTCTCTATCACCTCTGTGGATTTTCCCTTTTAAGTATCTCAGGCTGTTGTTGTTGTTATTGTGATAGTCATGAGCTAGAATATTTTGCCTGTTTTGTTTGATTTTCAGGTACAGAGCCGTGGCATTTCTATTTTGCCAATGGGACCCTGAACTTCAACCTGGTGTTTGTTCTGGCACTGTTTTCTCTTCCACTCACTGCTCTCATGGAGACACTGTTACACAAGTTCAATGGTGAGGACTGAGGGCGTTTCATACACCAGTACTAAGAAAATGTTGTCATTGCTTGCACTTTTTTGGGCAGTGGAAAGGGTGTTAGACGTCTGCTTTACCAGAACAGTATGTGTCATAATAATAAGTAGTGTGGCGATGACGCACTCAGGTCCTTTCAGCCCATTGTCTTGGTGCTCTCCTGTTTACATTCATTAGCGCAGTTGCAACAAGTTTTTTTGGGAAACTGATTGAATGCTGATATGATGTTATCAAGTCACTATTTATATCCTGTATCTGAGTCCTCCTCATTTTTGGTATATATGTGACATAAAGTTGTAGCAAACACAAGACGTTAATCTAACACATGTTAAAATTGTTGTTGTGTTAATTGCCAAAGCAGCTCTTCTTGCGATTTCATGTGTGCACGCGTGTGTTTTCTGCAGTGCAGAACCTGGGCCGTCCATACTGGCTGACTTTGTCTCCCATGTACCTGTGGATGTTGGTTTTCTTCACCAGACCTCATAAAGAAGAGCGTTTTCTCTTTCCCATCTACCCTCTTATCTGCCTCAGCGGGGCAGTAGCCCTTTCCTCTCTACAGGTGTGTTTTGCCAGTTTGGCTTTAATACCAAAACAGTTGTCCTTGTTGAGCCCTATCTGCACGGGACTATTTTTACCAGGTATTAATATTATTAGTTGTCTAAGGCCCAATGAATGTGCATGTAAGAGGAGTTTTCACAGATTACTTTTATTTCCTACAGAAATGCTACCACTTCCTGTTCCAGCGGTACCGACTGGAACACTACACAGTCTCCTCCAACTGGTTGGCTCTAAGCGCAGTCGTGGTCTTCACAGTGCTGTCACTGTCTCGCTCTGTCGCCCTTTTCAGAGGTGCGTGTACACACAGATACTATTCTCCTAAACCCCAGTGTCAGAGAATGAAAAACTAATTTGAGTCATATTAAACTGTTGCTTTGGTTGTCTCTCTACAGGCTACCATGCCCCTCTGGACCTGTACCCAGAGTTCCACCGCATCGCCAAGGATCCGACTCTTCACTCAGTCCCTGAAGGCAGACCTGTTACTGTGTGTGTGGGCAAAGAGTGGTACCGCTTCCCAAGCAGCTTCCTTCTACCGCACAAGTCAGTATCAAGGATTCCTACACAGGTCTTCGATGTCTATTAATGAATGGAAAGTGTTTTTTGTTATTTCAGTGTGTGAATGGGACTAAGTCAGTTCTTCTTTCTGATCTCCAGCTGGCAACTGCACTTCATTCAGTCTGAGTTTAAAGGGCAGCTGCCTCAGCCATACGCCTCTGGTCCACTGGCCACACAAATCATCCCAGCTCATATGAATGACCAGAACCTGGAGGAGCCCACCAGATATGTGAGTCACACTCAGACACATGGACGTTGGTTGTAGTTACTAGTTGTTGCATTTTAATTGTGAATCTTCTCCTCTGAGCAGACGGATATACGGCAGTGCCACTACTTAGTAGACCTGGACACAGATGAAGAGACGCCACTTGAGCCACGTTATTCAGCCAACAAAGAGGAGTGGAACACCATTGCCTATAAGCCTTTCCTTCAAACATCAAGGTATTTTCCCAAATGTATAATTTACATTTAAAAAGAAACAAAATCATGGCTCTCAAATCTTTTAAAAATGTAATCCCAGTGTGTAGGATTTAGTGGCATCTAGCGGTTTAGTTGCAGATCACAACTCCGTTGCTTCACCCTCAGTGGTAGCTCTTAGCTAAAAATACAGACAGGAACAAATAAGAAGGATCCTCTTGATAGTCTTGTGGTAGAACTTCAGTGTAAAGCAAATTACTTGAAAAAAATGGATATGTAAATAATAACAGCATCTATTTTACAAACGCTTAAAAGAGACTTAAAAAACAAATTTCTCTTTTAGGTCATCTTCTCTCTTCAGAGCATTCTACATCCCGTTTATATCAGACCATCACACCACCTACAGACGCTATGTCATCTTGAAACCACGGCGGCAAAAGCAGCCTCGTAAGCGGACCCACGGCTGACCTTTGAACCTCAACCTGGCCCTAAATACAAAATATTAACAACAGAAATCAATCACTTCCCCTCCAAACAGCTGGTATTTTTGTGTGTGTGTGTGTGTGTGTGTGTGTGTGTGTGTGTGTGTGTGTGTGTGTGTGTGTGTGTGTGATTGTTGGACACGTGTGCATGCATGTGTTTTGAAGTATTTGTCTCATGAAACAAGATATCAGACCCTTTAAGGACATTATGTCTGCTTTTGGGCTTGTGTGAAGAGATGTATGTATTGTATGTATGCAGGCGTGCTTGGCAGGTATCAGCTGGACCTGTATGTCAACATTTTATCTCAACTTGTGTGTGTGTGTGTGTGTGTGTGTGTGTGTGTGTGTGTGTGTGTGTGTGTGTGTGTGTGTGTGTGTGTGTGTGTGTGTGTGTGTGTAAACGAATGTCTTACAGTGGATGCACACTACAAGATTTCACATGTATTTAACCCAGGACATGCCGTCACACACAAATATAAGTGTTTTCTTTTTCATACTTCACCTGAAAATGTGGCCTGAATAGAAGATTTATTTGTGAATAATTAATCAAAAGAAGTCTTGTAGTGTTTGCTTATCCGCACTTGAACAGTATCTCATTGTGTGCTCTGTCGGGTGTGAGTGATGGAGATGAACGAAAGCGAGGTTGTGTTATTAATTTAACTTGGAATGTTAATAAAAACATGATTGACTACGAATACAACCCTTCTGTTTTTATTGGGACATTAAAATCAATGCAACCTACACTCAGACAGATTCCAAGATTTCTTATGTAACAAACATACAAACCACTCTCGCTTACAGGAGAGATGTCAAGGCATTATACATTCTGAATAAATAATAAAGATGCTATATTTTATCATTCTCTTCAATATCATGCCATTGCTGTGGTCAGGCTGCAGGCACTCAAGCTGAATGTAATGTATGAGCCACTTTTCCACTTGTTAGCATTGTTTTTAACTGACTTTGATTTACACAATAGGAGACGAAAGGCCATTAATAAATAAGGGAACAATCAGTCAATGAAAATCAATTCAGGTTCTAGACATCTTAGAATTTAAGGCAAGTTTATGTCAAAACACATTTGCAGTACATAAAAATTGTCCAGCCTCGGCTGCCTCAAGCAGTATTGGTTAATTGTGTCTTCAAATCTGTTTGAGGTAGCCTGTTTATATCAACCAACCTGGGTATGATTATAACAATATTTTCAGACACAGCAAACATAAGGATCCAAGACCTCAATAGGTATCAAGGGCAGCATGACAAGGACATGCAAACAAGCTGCTACACAGGCATGTGGACACACACACTGTAAACGTCACTCATAATCACTCAGACGCTCCATGTGATTACTTGACAAAGTCATCTGGCTTTGGGTGTGTTATGCTTGTCTTTGCTAATGTAGCCTCGAGCCACTAGCCTCAAGTAGAGATGAGGGGCAAGCTATAGACGTAAGCTCACTTCTGTCTAACTCCAGTTTTCATTAATTTCCACACTTTTCAACACAACTGACGCTAGTGACATCACTTATCAAATTTCTTGCAGCTCCCTCTGGAGCCACAGAAGTTTATACTTTCACATACGCAGCAGCACTCTCTAAGACTTGTAAGCGGACTGTGATTTGTAAAATCGGTGGACTTCCCCTTTAATATCTAATCTCAATATTCCTGTAAAGGGTTGGTTCACTCAGATTACAAAAAGCTTTTTTTCCTCACTTGCCTAAAGTGCTGCAGCAGCTAACCATGCAGATAGTTTTGATTTTATTCGTCCAGGTTTTGAGATAATTGTCTTTGTGATTTCTGCCGACACCCCAACATAATAAAGGTGAAAGGACTGCACTGAAAGTTTTCATTAAAAAAAATCAGCATTAGTGTGTCTGTCCAGGAAATTTGTCCCTGATAATCCGTAGAATCTTTCTTAGAAAGTAGTTACAGGAAGTAGTTACAGTGAAAGCTGTACATCTGTGAATTGTTTCTGAACATTGTTTCTGAAAAGATATGTTGTTATTTATTCCTTAAACTGGGGTCGAGGCAGAAATCTCAAGGACACAAAACTATCTGCATGATTAGAAGTCAGAAAATATTATGGGTGAACTGATTTTCATATAATGTTCATATTCCTAAACAAATTTGTGTTAGATTACCACAAACTAATTGCCACATGGCTCTAGTCTACCATTGGGCAGCAGGTTCAATTGTGTGGCCAGTGACAAAATATAATTTGAGCATGTCCTCACCTGACTTTAATCCCTAAAAGCCATCAGAAATATATCCGGTACACACAATTACAACCACGTACGTGCACAGTTTTCTCATCCCTGTCCACAATTACACACTGTGCACACAATCAGTAGTTTTCTCTGTTGATCCATTCTTGTTCATTGAAGTATCTCCCTCTGCCATCAAGAGTCAGGCCGTTTCTGTAGCAATCCAGATTTGCTTGGTAGGATTTTCGGTTTCCATAGGTTCCGAGGCTGGTTTGGTAAGTGTCTTCCTTGCCGCTGGTGACGTATGTCTGATAGAGGTCAGCCTTTACTGTGCGACTTCCAAGCCTCAGTTTGGGATCATAGAGGTCAGTCCCTCCTCTGATACTGCCGTCATACAATCCATGGTCCCCGTACACACTGCTGCCATAATGCTCACTCTTAGTTGTGCGTCGACCCAGACTTCTGTCATAAAACTCTCTGTGCCCGGTGCAACCAAGACTGCTATCATTCAAGTCCCTTTTTCCAGAGCGACCCAAGCTTGTGTCGTAGAAGGTGCCACGACGCCCAAGGCTGAGGTCATTGAGGTCAAAGTTGAGGAAGCAGCTCTCTGTGCTGGCAAGCGTCACAAAGCCGCTTTCAGTGTCCCGACCGCCCAGGTTGTCGTAGTCACCCGTCGGTGTATCAGGGGAGGAGCATAAAAAGGAGGTGTTTTTGGTGTGCGGGCGAGCTGAAACCAGGTCATCGTCCTTCTGGGAGCGGATGACGTTGTAGACGTCAGTCGGAGTCGTGCTTGGGCAGAGGCCCGGGTCTGTCTGGCATAATTCTGATTTCTGCTCTTTCCTCTTTCTGTCTCACACAGAAAGAAGCACAAACAACCAGACACCTCAAACATTAACGGAGAAACAAACATGAACCAGACAATGTGGTTTATAGGTTGTGGAGGAAGTGAATATAAAATTGGTGAAGCTCAAATTGCCGAAGTAGCAAAAACCTCCATTCCTCTGTGTCAAAGACCTCCACTGTTATTCAGACACCATTAAAAACACATTAATGACTCACAACATTCACTGGGCGACAATTCCTTCGTTATGCTGAACAAGGGCACTGTAGATTATTTTCAAACAAGTCCCTAGTAAATCGTCCTGCTTGTACTCAATAACGTGCATTAATCCACCGATGAGTGTCTATATATATATAATACTACAAATAGTGTAGTATTTTCTCTTGTTTGGGTAACGTTTGTTAAAAACTATAGTGCCTAGCTGTCTTAAGAAAACTTTGTTTTAGTCTTCATTCGGAAAAAATGGGCTGGGAGCTGAGTACAACAGACTGGGTAGGGAGGTCAGGAAGTATTGAGAGGCCGACTAAAACATTGGTTTTGGTCTTTTCATGCTATTTGTTAAGAATATTTTAAAAAAGTATATATAGAAAAACACTGAATCAATCCTTTAAGTTTACCACTTAAGGACACTGTTTGTAATCTTGCATTTTTTCTGCAAAAAAAAATGTTAATTTTGACAACTGTACTACTACTATACTATACTACTATATAACTATATTGGATATTGACAGTGTTCGATGGCTGTAACTTATAGGTATTCCTATGAAAGGGTGAAGTGGGGTTTTTAATGATTTTAGTAAGGATATACCGTATACATACATACAGGTAGTTCGATATAGTCAATATGCCATCTTGAGCTTTCAACTCTTTCCCTTAGAGGAGATTTGGAAGAATCTGCGCTGTGATGACCATGTTAATGTTTTAGTTACAGATGATCAAAGGTCACTGTGATTGTTGGAAATCTTCAGGCGAAGTAAAACTTTAGTTGTCTTTAGTATTTAGTATTTGCCTTTGTTTTGGATCCTCACCGTCTGACAATCAGTTTGAAGCAGCAGACTCCAGTCACTGTCAGTAACAGCAGTATCAGAGGAATGGTGGGAATAATGATGTAAACCAAGTTCAAAGCTAAAAAAGAGACACAGACAAAGAGAGATACAGATTTAGTGACTGTCATGTTGGCATTCAGATATGACAGCATCAGTGTTGTGAGTGTATACTGGGTCAGTCAACCTGTACTGTTATGGTTGTGGTCACTTGGATTCCATGGTACGACAGGTGAAGTAAAGACATCTGTAATGAAAATCATCCATGACTTTCAAAGTATCCAAAATGTCTGCTGAATCATATTACATTTATCTTATTTAATATATTCTTTTCATACTGAGCACATTTGTACTTGTTTGAGTGGAGTTGGGAGAAGGGGAAAGGTCCACCGGCTTCTCTGTGGAGAGAATGAATCATGGTCAACAATGTTCAAGTAAATTCAAAGTAACAGAATATTGAAATACTGTGTCAGTGGTACCTGCAGTGTACTTGCAGATGAAGTTGTTCTTGGTTTCGCAATTGTCGTCGTTCCACTGGAACATGTAGAGCCCCCCTAGACCAGGAGGAGCGGACGGCTGGTGATACATCACCACACACACCTCATAGCCGCATGACGGCTCATCCCAGTGCCAGTTCCTTCAACAAACACAGTAACTCAATAAACATAAAAATGTCTTGTCTAGTCCTGATTAGACCAAGCCTGGTTATTAAACCTCAAAACTTTACTGGTACTGACTATACTGAAAGCTATTGAGTACTGAAACCTGGCATTAAATGTCAGCTGTATTATCAGAATTATCTTTGAACAAATATGCATATATAAACATTTAGTTTAATTAAAATAAAATAAAAATGCCAAAGTTATTGTGCAGATGCTTGTGTTTAGACCCAACATTAGAGGTAGTCCCATAAATCAGCCAGGCTGGCATATCAGCCAATATTAGCTTGCTGCAAATGTATCTGTATTGGCATTTATTTGTCTGATAAGTAACAAGAATTTGCCGTACAGAGATGTCAGAGTTCATTTAAAAACAAGGAATCCTTGTATAACATTTTTATGTTTTGTACTTATATTATTTCATTATATGAAAAATTACTTAATTTAATTAATTAAACTTTTAAAATTGGTACAGGCTTTTCATTTTTTTTTTAATTAATTGTGCTATTAATCACTTTTGAATTCTAGATAACTCCCACCCACCTAAATGAGGACTTGCTGCCGTCCAACCAGTAGTACTGTGGGGAGCAGTCTGAGCTGCTATTCTCGTCTCCATGGTTACGGCGGAGGCCGATCCAGAAATCTCCATCGGTTGGGCGGAGCTCTGTGATGAGTTGCTCTATGATCTTCTGCTCAGACTCCGACTCCACGCTCAGCAGCTGCCCTCCGTCCCGCCTGCAGGCGAGCTCTGCCTCCACAAAGTTCAGCCTCCGCCGGAGCTCAGAGAAATAGGCCAGCTTATAACACGGTTTCCCCGTTCCTGCCTTGCACACACGTTGACCTGCATCCACACACACACATACACACACACACACACACACGGACACATATACCTGATTACACGTGCCAGATATCCAAGCCACATATATCACAAGCATCTATATTAGAGCACAGAATACAAGAATACAGTAGGGATTATGGGTATTCTGTACCCACAGCTATAGGGATAGGGTTAGTTGTAGAAGGTTTTTATAATAAAAAAAATGTATGAGTGTGTTGCCTACCTCTCGCTTCGAATATGTCCGCTTCAAGAGCCAAACATCCAGCATGGCAGACCATAAGGAAACCAAAGATAGATCCACAATTGAATCAAGAGTTCATGTCTTTGTGCTGTGATGTGTTTTTGGTGTTCAGCTTACCTGTAATGAGGCTTGTGGCTGCAGATGGATCAAAACATATAAGCAGGAGGTGACAGAAGATTGTGAGCAGGTCCATCTTCATCAGTTACAGTTGGTTTACCACCACCTCTTGTATTTTAGTTTAGTCTTTTTCATTCCGCTGTCTGCTCATCTGGTCGTAAGTGGAGCTCAGGTGAAACCGGATAAACTCTGAGCTGTAGCTTAAGGTGAAAGAAAATGCTCTTGAAAAAAGTTGAAATTGAAAAGGGAAAGCAAAAGAAGGGCTAAAAAGGCAAATCGCCTGTTCTATCTGCTGGAAGGGAGAGTGTGTGAGACAGAAGGAGGAGCAAGAAGAGGAGGAGAAAAGCCTGTGTGTGTTTGGGAGGGGGCTGTAATCTGTTAAGAGCAGTCCTAATGATTGGGAGAAGCGGTTGCATCGATCGCAAGACATCTAATCATGCAAGTGCTTCTCATAGTAAACGCTGACAAGAGGCAGATTTCACTCCTTCCTTTATTACTTAAGCTTTGGTATTATCATTACAAAAGTGTTACATGAAAATGATCTCCTCTAACTCGATCAGGAATTTTTTATTGTAGCATTCTTCCCTTATTGTGTTTCAGTGCAAAGCAAGACAGATTGCCAGCACAGCTGACATCTCAAAGAGGAGGGGCAAGGTGTATCATTTATCTTTCCACTATGATTAACGTCTGTGAAAACTTGATTTCATATCTTAAATACTTTTCTGCAACATGCAATATTTAAAATAATTAAAATTAAAGTTCAGAAATAAATATTCTTATCTCTCAAAACTCTAATCTGCTTCATCAGGACTGTGTGGGTGTGGTTTGATTTGATTGACAGTGGCCTGGCAACACAAGCAAACAACGCCATGACCTCACCTTTTTCTAACAGAGCCGTGCCATCCAAACCAGTGGAAAGAGCACAGAAAAACACACAAATAGGTCTACAGAAAATGTGAAATAACCCATTTCGTCTTCGACAAAAATGTTGTGTTCATGTAGGGCTTCATCGCCAAAGACACATTATTCAACAGAACTATGACAAAACCGAAAGCAATACTAGGGTGGGAAATTAATGATGTACAGTGAAGAAGGCATATAATTTATCTAGTTACAGAATAGCAATGTTTTATACAAATAGAGGAATCATTTAATGTATTACATTTGTGGAATTTAAGAAAGGACAAATAATTCAGAATATGTCACAGACAGCATTTCACAAAGTTTATTACATCTCCCCTGACTCAACAAGTCACAAAATAAAGGAGTGTAGGGCTGCCTCAATCTCAAATTGCTTGTGCATGGTTTTTTCTCTGGAGGATCTTAATGAGGATAAAGAGAAGGCATTAAAAATACTGGATGCAAACGCAAGATAGGATCATTGATTATCCGGATATCTGAATACAGATCCCAAAAGTAAAAAAGTAAAAGAATAGTATTAGTTCAAACATTTTGGAAATTACCCTTTTTCATGTATTGAGAGATCAGTACCACTCTCATGTCTGTACTGTAAATAAGCTTGGCGAACCGTCTTCTCACTGTAGCTTCATATTTACTGTAAAGTCATGAGAGAGGCATTGTAGCCAACCCCTCATCAACACTTGTCAAGAGAGGGAAAAAAAGCATATTTCCCAAAATGTTGAACCATATCCTTCAACTGTAAAACAGCTGAAACACAAACCATCCACATAATCATTAAAAGAAGGCAAACAGCGGACAGGAAGTTTAACAAAATCTGCCTGCCAGCAGCTCTAAAGCACATTAATTAAGATATGTCATCTAAAATTAAACAAAAGAGATACATGTTAATTTCTGAGCTTTAGAGTTGCTGGTGGGTGGATTTGTTTTCCATTTCGACAGAGCCAGACTATCAGTCTTCTCCTCAACTTTCAGTAACGAAATGAATAGGCCATATCCCAAGATTTAACTTTTCTTTTAATATTGTAAATCAGAATGAACAAATAAGTAAATAGCCTTTGCTGACAAGTTTAATTCAATATCAGAAATGCACTCAGACACTATTCAGATGTATATTTGATATCACAGTTTAATAACAAGGGAGCTTCCCATTGATATAATGGCATCTATATAATTTCATATTAAAGCGTCGGCATCAGCAGAAGAAGCCATGGATGCATGTGAGCATGACCCGCTTTTCTGAGTACAAATGGGGGAAAAGTGTATGTATGCAGTTCTTAATGGTAGTAATTTCTAAAATGGCCCATAAGGTTGATTTAGGACTTGCAGAGAGACAGATCAGCCAGAGTTTAAACAGCAGGATGCTTCATCAGGAATATGCTGTGTGTGCTGTGTTGAATAGGGGAGTGAAGGTGGTGGGGTGGGTTGTGAGGCTGCCCTGAATATACTGTCTGCATGCACGCTGCTCTATCCAAACACGGCTAATCAGCTTAGATGTAACAGATTGATTTCAGTCAAAGGGCTTCAGCTTCATTTAAACTGAAGGCGGGGTACAGGATGTTGTCATTAGCAGGTGATGCTCTGAAAAGACAAGACAGAGAGGTAACCCAGTCCTCCAGAGGGATTTAATAAGAATGGTCTTTGTTTTAAATTTCCTCCTTGTTTACAGCCTCTGAGACCAAGAGAGGCTTTCATTCAATTAAGCCTCTCCCATTCGTCCCTCCTCTCACACAGTCTGTCTTCCTCTGTATCTGCTGCCTCCTCTCATCCCACTGACCTCCTCCCTCTCTCCCAATTAGTTAAAGGGAAACCAGATGAATGTTCTCATGGGAAGCCGGTACATCACTGACCTCACACACACATACAGACACTCCCTCACACACAAGGTAGGCGTTTCACCATGTCAGAGAAACCTGACATCAATGTGGAAAATTCACCACTCTTCTTTGATGTTTTGGACATTTAAGCAATATGCAACAGTAAAGAGAATAGCTAAATATTCATTTTCACTGAGATGATGCCTGACAGCGTATTGGTCAATAGATCATCATTACAAAGTAAAATAACATGATTTGAAGCCATAAACTTGCTCTGACCACAACAAATCATTTGTAATGCAATGGCCTTGTTTGTTTGTGGGCTGTAAAGACACAGCAATGAATGGCAAGCTCAGTTCATTTCCATCTCACAACCTGAAAGAGAAAGAAAATAACTTAATTACTCACCAAAAAAAAGAACTTAACTTTCCACTAAATTCAGTTTGAATGATCTGAGTTGGCATGCTGCCAGACTGAGTGTCCGCATTGCGCAGGCCTGCACAGAGAGCTGGAAATGAGCCCTGAGTCACTGACCTGAGGGGGAGCTGGACGGCTCCATCAGCAGGGCTGATCCATAAAAGAGTTTTGATGAAACCTTTTAAGTGCTGTAGTAATTCTTTTAGTCATTTCTTTTTTTAAGCAAGTTTGGAAAAGGCCTGAAAGAAGGATATTGTCTAATGACTATTGATTGAGAATGCATAAACCGTGTGTCATGTAACCTTTTTTCTTCAAATGATATGATAAATCTCTGTTTTCTAAATAAAAGTCCCCTCTTCCAGTCCTTTTATTTTGTGTATTTAAATATATTCACACTGCACTCACCTATCTGTACTGGAGCCGTAATGCTACACCCATCTAAGAAGATTCTGTCATGGACTCTTCTGCGGACTAGTGTCAGTTCATATGTTTGTCGTCATTTATAAGAGTTGATGTCTGGTTTGTTTGTTTGGTTGAACCTTCAAATCTGTCATTTGTTTTTGCTGTGAAGTCCAAGATTGAGATAATGTGGATGCAATTTCATTATAGGTAACTTCATATTACATTATCAATAAACTGTATCATGGTACAGCCTAGTATTATAGTTTTGCAAAATGAATGAATGAATGTACAGGAACTGTTTATGGGTGACATGAACAGACAGGAATGACACTCATTGAATTTATTACCTTACAAATGAAGGTAAATTATCACTGTACAAAGATCATATACTCAATATTGCAGCATTATAGTTAGCACAGTATAAACATTATAGTGAAATCTCTAACAGTAGACAAATGTATATCGTCTCACTGTATACTGCCATACTACCACGATCCAGGGTGTTAACCATTTAGATGAGTTTTTCTTCCATAACACCAGGACACAGGTTCATTCTGATTGATTACAAACTTTACATACTGGTTGATCACTGAAAATACTGGCTGACTGATGAACAGCATAACTGATAACTATTAATATTATAATTGTGCAATTTGCTATTGTATGTTCTTAACTGGAAAACATATTACAGTATGCAAATGCATTTAGCTCTCCAAAAACGTAAGTGGTGCATAATCATCCTGGTCATTATTTCCAAGGATAGATTTAAGAAAAGGAACAACTCTGAATAGATTAATATGGAAATCTCTGGAAGTGTCATCTGACTCGACAACACCACCCGTCCTGCACAGAGTCTTGGTTCCCCAGCTGACCACTGCAACCTGTGAAAGAAATTGTTGGTTACTACCACCAGGTGATACTCATTTGGGATGAATGAAAAGAACGGCTGTTTACCTGTATTGTGCGATGCTCGTAGTTCTTGAACACAGCACCTCCAGAGTCACCTGTCACAACAAATACACACACACACACACACACACACACACACATAGTAACACCCAAAATAATGGGCCTCAGTAACTGATCATGAACAAAAAACAAGAACTTTCATGCCTCACATGACATGATAGAAAGGAATATTCTGGGGTGTTTTACCATTTTCCTAACTTACCCTGAATCAGATAAAGACATAGCTGCGTCTCTAATGTGTCTGCATGTCATTAACTGTGAAATTAGCTCAATTCAAGGATGATTGCTGGATAACGATAATGTCTGCTTGAAGTGTGGAGTTCACTTTTATACAAAGAGGGAACATACCTGTACACGCTATATGATCTCTGAAAGGAGTCCGACCACCAGTGCACAGGAAGTTATCAGTCACAACGTCTGTTATAACATCAGTGTCAATGCCTGGTGCCTGTAGTGCATGTTTGATGCATCCAGCTCTCTGCAATGAAGTTGAAAGAAGAACCAAAGTGACTTTGAGTAAAAAAAGATAATCAAGAAAGCAGGCACACATTGATCATTTAAACAATAAATATTTAAAACTCACATTAGTGCCAAGCTTAGCATGGACATCTTTTTCATCTACTATGTTTTCTGTTCTGGTCAGGAAAGTGAGTCTTTCAAGATGGTCTTTTAACAGTAGCTGCTCTGTATGAACAGAACACAAAATATTAATTGTATTTGAAGCTCCAGTGATATTTTATTTTAACTGCAAGGCCACTGAATCAATACATTAAGCAATGCATTAACAATTAACAAATGGTTTATAACACACCACACTTATCATCTATGATGCATCTGTAAGATGAAAAAATGAAGGACTGACAATATAGTACAGCTGTAAGATACATTTTATATGAAATGATGTATTTATTTCTTAATTGTGTTGATTAACTTTGTTATTATATGGAGTAATTCATTACCAATTATAAATGACATTTGTATTTCTTTGATATTTCATTTCTTTCTAAACACATGAACTCTGGAAACCTGCCTGTGAATGATTTGTTTGTGTGTATAAACAGTTAATAAATGTTTTATAACACACTGGAAGAACTTATTGTTATACACCAGTTATGGATGCTTCAAGGAAGAAGTTAAGTTTTGACAAATAAATAATAAATATAAATAAACAGTGAAAACATCTTATTCTATATTTCAATGTGTTATAAACAATATTAAGCTTTAATTTGCTACTTATAAATGCAAATAGTGGTGATTAAAGTAAACTGTTTTTGACAATATGATTACTGGGACTACCATAAGATATTTACACATTATACATTTTTGAATAAAAAGACCAAATATGAGACAATTAACTGTTCGTCACAACCTCCCCCCTAACAGCAATTATCATAGCTTAGCAACCGTAACCAGGCGCGGTATGTCTCTCAAGCTTTGGATTTCCCTACATATTGATGCAGTGTGAATGGGGCTTTAGTAAACGCTGGGACGGTGTGTTACCATGTTACCTACAGAGTTATTGTAACAGTGTCTTACATTAACGGTTATGGGACAGCTGAGTTGTTTGACAGTGTTGTATGTTGGTAAAGTTACCTTACCTTGTTGCTTGCAGGTAGAATCAGGAACCAATTGTAGAGCATTTCTGGTCTCCACAGTGCAAGGTATGCAAATAGGTCTGAACGAAAGACCAAAAACAATACAACATGTTCCAAGTTAATAATATTTAACACAGTATATTTATTTATAAAATTGCAGTATTACAAATGTAAAGATTTCTTGTGTGTGTGTGTGTGTGTGTGTGTGTGTGTGTGTGTGTGTGTGTGTGTGTAACCTAGAATGTGGCATCAAATCCAAGAATAAACAAATTCTTACCTAACAGAAGTGGAGATTTGAACAGGTTTTTCCAGTTGGATGAGAGCCACATCATAGTCATAAAACTCCTTCACTTTCTTGTCCACTTTAGCAGTAACATTGTATTTTGGGTGTCTCATGAAGGTTTTAACTTTTTTTACTGTAAAACACAATCAAGGGTTAGTAGTATTACCGTTTAAAATTTGGTCAAACTTATTTTTGAAAATGCAAATGCTGGACTACAGCAAATATAAAATAAGTCATAAGGTTAGGTTTTGACTTTGACACTACAAAAGCAAATACAAACCAAAGCAAATTTAATTGGATACTGCTGTTCAGGTACCTGAAGAGAAGCTGCATGAGAATACATTAAATAAACATACACATCATCATTACCTCTGCCCTGTCCATCATCAATCTCAATTCTGACATGCTCCGGCAAATCTCCAAATTTTAAGCAGTGAGCAGCAGTCAAGATAAACTCGCGGCTCACCAGAGAGCCGATGCATTTCCTTGGATCTTCATTCTTAAGTTTTAAAGGATAAATAAATATATAATATAGTTTAGTAGTTATATAACACACACAAGCAAGAACAACATGGCATTGTGGTCCATTAAATCTTACATCTGCAGGTCTGACTCCACTGTGTTCTCACTAATCCAAATATTTCTACATGAAAATTAAATTGTTTTACTGAAGTTAAATGAAATGCTGAAACATTCACCTGGATGACAACAAATGCCATCCATGGATACATTTTCTGCTTGGCATCTCTCTCAGTTGTATCATACTCCACATGAAGACCACATAGACCCTTAACTTCTTCTTCATCTGCATTAAAAAAAACACAACAAATTTAGTCTTGCTCATGTTCATGGATGCAAATACATCCTTGGTATAGAGATACAGGTCAGTTTATAGAGTAAAGGCTCAATGTTGAAACTAAACATCAAAATTGTTCTAATGCTTTTTTTCCCCAAAGTGACATGTTTTCCAAATGCATTACATGCATTGGGGGAAATTTAGGGTTTTGTGTCTCTAATCCATTACATTGTATAAAATTACCTAACATGCATTTATGGTTTTATCCAAGCAACATAGACCGAGAAGCATCATGTCACCTTAAAGATTTTGTTAAAATATTGTAAAGGAAAACCTTAGATCTCCAAGTGTCTGCCCTAAGCCAGTGGTTCACAAAGCTACACAGAGGGTCTTGATTTTAAGGGGTTTAAGAAAATGTGTTATTTTTAAAGTTTAGATTATTATTCAAGATCCAAAATTTGAAGACATCCTCATCCTGCATTAGAAAAGTACACAGTTAAAACTACAAAGAGCTAATAGAACAATAGACCAAGTGTCAATGTGTATGATGGCTTTAAAAAAACAACATAATACAGACAGAATTATATAAAAGAAAATTAATTTCTGATGCTCACAGGAAATAATCTGCTCCAAATTCATCCAAATCACTAGTTCACTATTTTGGTTCAATGCACAGTTTATCAGTTGTCCTGCACAGTTGTTTTTTTTTTTTTTTTTACTTTTATTCACTACATTTTCACACAGATATCTGTATTGTCTTTTTCTTACATTTTAAAATTAGCCTCGTTACTTTAGATTTAATGCCTTCGAGGGGATTTTTTTGCATAAACGCTTGCATTTCCAACAACAAGACACGCATGACAGACGCGGCAAAACAGACAAGAGATGGAGACTCCCTATTTGAAGTTTCAGTTAGCTTAGTACAGAAACAGCCAGTAGAAATGCCCTTCAGAGAAACCAAGGGAGTACTTTTTACTTTTATACCTCGAGTGCATTTCAGAGCCTGTACTTTGTAAGTATCAGTCCTTCTACTTGAGTAAAAAATGTGTGTACTTTTTCCACCTCTGTAAATCTCTTTTGTGTCAAATTAGAGAGTGGAGATGAATGCTAAGGTAGGTAATACCACAGAAATGCAAAGATAAGTTACCAATTATCGCATCAAAGGTCTCTTGTAGATTTTCAATGTCTTCCAGTCTGAAGTAATGTTTGCCACCGGTCCCAGCTGTGAGGGGCTGCAGTTCACCATCATCGATCTCAGCTCCAATGGCAAAAACATAAATGTCTGTAACAGATTGAAACGTAGCAAAACTAATTAGGATCTCTGTGTTGCATTAAACACATTCTGTTGCCCATGGTGCTAGCAAGGAGTTATATTATATATATTGTTATATCAATGAAAAGATACCGACTACAGAAGCTCTAAAAAGTCATGGATTACAAATTTAAGTTAATTACTTTGCTCGTTTTCTCGTGATAACGTGATAATTCATCAAGACAAAATGTCTTGATGAATGCAATGTTGAGTGCAGTTCAGTGACAAAAGTTGTTTTCGCTTCATAAATCTTGAGAAAAGTTAAATTAACTCATTATCATGAGAAAAAAAGCTTTGTTATTCCAACATAACGAAATTATTATCTCAAGCTATGGCATTAAAGAAACTGTTTGAATCCGCAAAGAAGAGTACTAACAAGAGCAACAAAGCTGAATGATGAAAATCAGCATAGCAACACAAATCTCTGCTACAACTTAACTCACCAAGATATTCTCCTCTTGGTTGTTTCTCCTCTTCACTTGTGGGGTTCATATATACCATGTTCTTTATTTGTTTCACTGTACTTGCAGGTGAACCGCCCATATTATAAGCACCTAGAATGAAAGAAAGAAAGTGTGTTAAAATAATGAACAACACAGACAGCAGCAGCAACAAATAGCTTGAGCATTTTTTTTACTGTAACAAAAACATAATACAATGATATTATCTAGATTAATAATAACTGGTACAAGATGCATATGTACATACTATAATTTATAATCAGTGCTGATTTTATTGCACATAAATTATAAATTGAGGTAAGAAGCAGTTGTAAGAAGACAGTTTAATTGTCAGTTGATGCAAGAAAGCAAATACTCATATATTTTCCAAAAACAATTTCTTTAAAGATTTGCAGCAAGAATATTTAAATCCATAGTTAGCCTACAGTAAAAAAAAATTGGAAGCATCATTGCAAAAGTCAGCCCATAAAGAGGTTGAAATTACCGTCTGTAAAAACGATAATGGCATGACGATGTTCCTTAAACGCCTCCTCACCAACCCGCCGCTTTATAAGGCCCATTTGCTCCAAGAAGGTCTCAAAGACGATGTTCAGATTTGTTCCAGAAGCATCTTTGAGTCAAAACATACACACACAAAAAACATAAATCAATCTGTATATTAAAACAGTATTTCCAATAATAATGCTGATCTGTTAAACATCATAATCTTGACTGATGCTTCTTGGCACGAGTCCCTTGTCTTGTTGTCACTCACCGCCTTTCTCAAATCCGTCCAATTTATTAAGGATATTCTCTTGTTTTCCATCAAAAAAATCAAGAATGTTGACAACTTCAACCACGACAGAGGAGAAAAAGATGATTTCATAATTTGGATTCACAGAAAAAGACGAAATCTGTGGAAATACAGAGCAAATCAGTTAAATACAAGGTGGTTAATCTTTAACCTATCTAACCCTTGACACAACTTTGTAAACACAAACAAACTTGTGGAACTGCTGTGAAATATTATGTTAATGCAACACCTCCTTATGTATCAAACTGCTTATGGTTGTTATTTTGTTGAGTAATTGATTCATTTATCAGCAGAAAGAGAATCCCGTAGTGTGCATTGACAACAAGCCAAGGGACTCGTGCCAAGAAGCATCAGTCAAGATTATGATGTGTAATTCATAATGAAATTTACTTCTAATGGGCTGTTGTGCTGGCAGACGAATGGGATGAGAATATGTTTGTACATGTTATGTGTACTGTGTGCCAAATCTAATTCTAAAATAGTGTCAAACAACTTCAAAGTTTTCATATTTCAGCTCACACCAAATATATACCTTACATAAATTCAAATACCGAAATCCACTACTCCCAATGAAATCAATATTACCGTAGTATAACATTCAAAAACCTAATGTCTCAGTAGATTCTTAATACGTATTAAAATGCTAGGAGCAAGATGAATAGGTGGCTAAAATGTTAAAAGAGAAATATATTTGCTAACTATGCTAGCCATCTATAAAAATCCAAAGACTGAAACATTCAATACATGTATCACGAAATAAAAAATCATATGACAAAATGTAGACAAAATTTAATTACCATGATGACCATAAAATTATCAAGACATAAGATTCCATATATGTATGAAGATTATGAAGTTTAAGTGAATACGATTTCATATATGTATGAAATCTTATTTCTTGATAATTTTATGGTATAATCCGTTTTCTTTTTAAAATGTTAATTGTAACAAAAACTTTTTCATTTCAAAATAAATAATTTTTCTTAAGCCTGCTTTCATTTCACAAGACACATTTTCCAAAATTATCATTTCATTTGAAAATTAGCAGTCTACAGGTGAGTGTCTCTCAACATGACATTTCTGACACATGCGTAATACTGTGGCTTCCTCTGCCATGCCCAATAAAACTCTAACATGCAATCAATCAAGTGATTGATCAAATGTCCGATTAGTCTCACTAGAGGCTGTATTTTATAATTTTTTAACAACTCTGCAGATACTGTTGTATCATTCTGGATAGAACCTCCAATGTTATTACTCCCTTTTAATTAAGAGGAAAGCTGTTTGTTTCTTACCTTTGAAATAAGTTGTTTGACGGCATTTTTTGCATCTTGTATGTCTTTCTCTTCGATGCTCTCAGAAATATCCACTGCGATAAACATATTAAGTGTCCCATTTTTTGGAATCCGGATTGTTCTTCCTTCCTGTGTGTCATCTGAACAATCCACAACAAATACTGTTATTTGGGGAGGCAGAGGGGATGACACGCAGCCAAGGGCCACAGGTCGTTTTTTAACCAATAGCTGCTGCAGCACGGACTCACATGGGGCGCCAGCTCTACCTCATCAGCTACTATGGCACCCCAACAAATACTGTTATTGTGCCAGACATATTATATGCCATGATATTCATTTGTTGGAAGAATGGAAGAAAAGAAGGTTGGAATTTGTTACAGGATAGAAACATTCATACCAACACATTTCCTCTTCAATTCATACAGGGTATGAAGGTATTGTGTCATTACACAGAGGAGTGAGTTTTTTTCTTCAGTGCTTTTTAATGCCTTTATTTGATAGTGACAGTTGGAGATTTACAGGAAAGGGGGAGAGAGAGGGGGGGACAGAAAGAAAAGGAGGGTTTATGGGGGGGGAAATTTTATTTTTTTATAAAATAATTTTTATTTTAATTTTTTTTTTTTTTTTTATTATTTAAAAATTTTTTTTTTTTTTAATTTTTTTTTTTTTTTTTTTTTTTTTTTTCCCCCCCAAAAAAAATTAATCAAGATAGGACTTCCTGGCACCCAGAGAGGGGAGGATGTTCTTGGATAAAAAGGAGACTATGGAAGACAGGCAGGGGGGACAAAGTGGTGCATGGGGGGCACGAGGTGGACAGCAGGGACAGGAGACAGAGCAGATAGCACTGGAAGAGGTCTGAAGAGACACCGGGCAAACACGGACCGTTAGCGTATTGAAACCTAAAAATTCTCCCTCCGCGTAAGTCCCGATTATGATCGGTATTTGTTTAGTGAATTTAATATAAATGTTATGCCTTTTAGATCACAAGATATTTTAGTTTAGTTGTTTGTGTTTGTTTAGTTTATTTGAAAGTAGAGCTTTTAGTTGTTTTTACTTGTTTTAAAATAAATTGTGATCACATAGCACTTGCTATTAAATGATTGTTACATAATCACTGATTAGTGCTCTCCCCAAAAAAAGGAACCTGTTTACCTAACTGGCTTGTAGGTGGTTTTGGTACAGAGAGCAGTGGGGTGTTTTTAAAACAGTGAATATGATGATGCCTGTATATCCTGGTGCCCCTTGGCCACCAAAAAAAAAAACCAAATTAAACCCAAAAAAAAAATAAAAAGAAGGGGGAAAAAAAAAACGTAATTTAAAGGAAAAAAAAAAACAAAGGCCAAAAAAAAAAAATTTTTTTGGGGGGGTAGCTGGGGGAGGCAAAAAAAAAGGAAGGTTTTTTATAGAGAAAAAAAAGAAAAAAAAAAAAAAAAAAATATATTTATTTAAATTCAAAATAAAAAAAAAAAAAAAACCCCCGGGTCTCAGTTTTTTAGTTGTGTCCAAAGACCAGACGAGACTGTGCCCCCATTCATTCTAAGACTAAGAGAGCGGTATTTCAGGTTGCGGCAACAAGACCCCGATGGAAAACCCCCCACACACCACCGCGAGAACAACCGGTTTTGGGGGTGCGTGAAAGTTCCCTGGCTCAGGCCCTGAAGGTCTATGCCCGCCGTAACCCTGATGAAACTTTTTTTGCACTCAGACAGGGGGGGGGGCGGCCGTTAAAAAGAAAAAGGGGACCCCCCAACGGGGGGAAAATGTGCCTTTGTGTAAAAAAAAGCCGCCTCCCCCTCCAAAAAAAAAACCCAGCTGGAGAGAGACCCTGAAAAGGGGGATATGGAAGACGTGAAATCTTAAAAGACCGGACTGACCCAGGAACTTGTGAGGGAGAATAAAACCCTTCCCTTCAACCAGCTGTTATTGCACCACAGCCCCTAATACAGCCCTATAGGGGCGCAAAAAAGATTTTTTTCCTAAAACCACCGCTTGGGAAGGGAAGGCCAGCTTTGCCGCCAATGCAGACAAGCCGGCCACATAGCTAGATTTTGTAGGAGGCCAACTACTGCTCGGCAGGCTTTAAACTAGCTTTCCCTGCTGCTGAGGTCCGAGGGGCGGGGGGTAAAAGCAAAAAAAAAAAAAAGGGCCCCCCTAGAGCATTTATTGGAAGGTGTCCAACTATAGACGTATAACATTGAAGTGATGTTACACTGGCGGGGCTATTAGACACGGGGTCCCAGGTCACCTTAAATGCAGCAAAGCCTCTTTGAGCAACATTTTACCCAAGCTAAGCTTGGAAAGGCTCCTATAGTTTTTAAGTTACAGGCCGCAAATGGCCTGGAGATCCCTTATACGAGCTATGCCGTATTAGATCTGGAGCTAGAGGGTGCTAAGATACCTGGAAGAGGAATTGTGATTGTGAAGGATGAACACTGTACACACCCACTCATCATTGGAATGAATGTTGTTACTGCTTGTTGGACTGTTTTTTTTAAATGTCCCAGAGGGTCTGTTCCCCCCCACAGACGTTACAGAGACAGCGGGTTTGGAGGGATGCATTTGCTACATGCAGACACATTGAGGCTACCATGACAGAGGACGGGATGTTGGGGTACGTGCGGCCAGCCAGCCGACGGGTCATCAAAATTCCCCCAAAGAGTGAAGTACTGGTGTGGGGTCGGGCTCGGATGAGCCTGGGGGGGAAAAGATTACTGTGCCCTAATTGAAGCGCTGCCTGAGACTTGCAGTGTGAGGGTGGCCAGGACCCTAGCAGTGATAAGAAATGGCAGAGTCCCTGTGAGAGTTTTTAACCCACACCCCTACTGTTTGATGCTAGATCGGTAGCAGAATGTCCTGGGCAAACTGTCCCGGGGGGAGAAAGCGGATGTACATGGAGCCTGCGACCTTAACCTGTCCCTTGAAGGTGATTGTGTTATTGGAGTGACACTGGTAAATGCTGCAGTTGACGAGGAGGACCAGAAGCTGCCGATAGGGGGGAGTGAACTCTCCAACAGGCCTTGATCTGTCTGAGCAGCAACAGGAGGAGCCCGGGGCCCTGCTGCTGAAATGGCAGAAGGTGTTTGCACAGCAACATCAATGAGGACTTCGGACGTACAGACCTGGTACAACATTGCCTCCATACTCGTGCTACCCCCCCTCTCCCAGAAACACACCCCCCCCCCCCCCTGCCATGTATAAAGAGATGAAATCCCTACTCTCAGGTATGCTGGAGCAAGGTGTCATAAAGAGATAAAGAGAGCTGTAGCCCATGGGCGGCACCCATAGTACTGGTGAGAAAAAAGATGGCAGTTGGAGATTCTGTGTGGATTACAGGAAGTTAAATGCAATAACTCATAAAGATGCATTTCCCCTCCCCAGGATTGAAGAAACCTTGACCAGTCTGACCAGAGCAGAATGGTTTTCTACTCTTGACTTAGCCAGTGGCTATTGGCAAGTTGAGATGGACACCCAAGACCAGGAGAAGACCGCCTTCACCACACCGCTGGGGCTGTATGAATTTGAGCGTATGCCCTTCGGCCTGTGCAATGCGCCAGCTACCTTCCAACGTCTGATGCAACAATGTTTAAATGGCCAATTGTCAGAATCCTTACTGGTTTATTTGGATGACATTATCATTTATTCACCTGACTTTTCCTCCCATCTACAGCAGCTAGATGAGGTGTTTAACAAACTGTGGCGGCATGGCTTGAAACTGCGCCTGGATAAGTGCAAACTCCTGCAGAAGGAAGTGAAATTCCTGGGCCATGTGGTGGACCAAAAGGGGTGAGTCCTGATCCAGACAAAATCTCAGCCGTAAAAGACTGGCCCATCCCCACCACTGTAAGACAGGTACGAGCCTTCCTTGGCTTAGCTGGCTATTACAGACGCTTCGTTTCTGGCTTTGCAAAGATTGCACGCCCCCTCAACCAACTGCTGACAGGCATCCCTGCTGATAAAAAGTCGCAAATCCGAAAGGTACAGTGGTCCTCAGAGTGCCAGACATCCTTTGATCACCTGAAAGCAGCTTTAACACAAACACCTGTTTTGGCATATGCTGATTACTCCCTGCCATTCCTTGTTTACACAGATGCCAGTAATCATGGTTTGGGAGCAGTCTTGGCCCAGGTCCAACAAGGGCGAGAACGAGTGATAGCCTATGCCAGTCGCAGCCTACACCCAACAGAGCGGAATGATGCAAATTATAGCTCTTTCAAACTAGAGCTCCTGGCTCTTAAGTGGGCAGTAACCGAGAAATTTAAAGACTATCTGACTGGAGCCCGATTCACGGTGTACACTGACAATAACCCTGTGGCCCACTTACAGACAGCTCGCCTGGGTGCCGTGGAACAGCGCTGGGTCGCACAGCTTGCCTCCTTCGATTATGACATCAAGTACCGCTCAGGTAAAAGTAATGTAAATGCAGATGCCCTGTCTCGGTTTCCAATTAACCCACTGACTGCAGATGCCTCATGTGAAAACCTTGAGCTGGAAACCGTTCCAGTCACGGCAGCCATTGAACTGACCCCTGAGGGAGGTGAAGAGGAGTGGACAGGCAGAGAGTGGGAGGAGGCACAAGCTGGTGATGCGGACCTTCAAATCATTAAGAGGTATGTGGAAACCCAAATGATACCGACGAGACCAGAGCGCCTGACATTGTCCCTTAGAGCCCAGAGACTGTTGCAGTCAAAAAACGAAAACTTCAGGTTAAAAGCAAAATACTGTGTCGTAAAATGATTGACCCGCACACACACGAAGTGTGTTTCCAGATTGTGTGTCCAGAATCTAGGAGCCAAGAAGTTTGGAAGAGGATCCATGAAGCCGCTGCCCATGCTGGTGTGGAGAGAACCCTAAACCGGATCCGTCAGCGGTTCTATTGGCCTGATATGGAGAGGGAGGTACGTCAGTTGCAGCAGGGTTGTGTTGCCTGTAACCTGCAGCGAGACAGGGTGGAGCCTAAGGCCCCCCTAAATCCATTCACAGTATCCTACCCCTTAGAAGTGGTGGGGTTGGACTTTTTGTCCTTAGGTCGGCCCACAGACACCTACCAGAACATTCTTGTTGCTACTGATCTGTTTACCCGTTTTTCTTGGGCTATTCCCACTCGAGATCAAACAGCTCAGACTACAGTAAAGGCCCTGTGGACCCATGTGATCCAACCATTTGGTTGCCCCGCCCGTTTCCATTCTGACCAGGGACCTAATTTCGAATCTGCACTTATGAAACAATTTTGTGATACCTATGGTATAACTAAAAGCCGCACAACTCCCTACCATCCCGCAGGAAATGGCAGTGCAGAGCGTTTTAATCAGACCTTGTTAAATATGCTCCGCTCTTTAGAGACGTCTAAGCAATTTCACTGGCCCGACTATCTGCCCGAACTGACACACGCCTATAATAACACCACACACAGTGCGACTGGGTATACCCCTTCCTTCCTCATGTTTGGGCGACACCTGCGACTTCCTGTTGATGTAGGATTAGGTGTAGGTCCCCAACAGATGAGGCACGATGTAGGTGGGTGGGTACAAGACCACCAGCAGAAACTGTCCTTAGCTTATAGCCTGGCTAAACAAAGAATAGAGAGTGCAGCCACCCAGAACAAGCAGCACTATGACAAGAGGGCCAAAGCGTTACCACTTTTACCGGGGGAAAGGGTGTGGGTGCGAGATAGGAACAGACGAGGGGCAGGAAAGTTGTGTACTTGGTGGGACCCAGAGCCATGGGTGGTGTTGGAGCAGGTGGGGGATACAGGGGTTGTGTACAAGATTCAGCCAGAGAAGGGTGGCAGAATACAAAATATCCATAGGAACTCACTTAAGGTGTGTACAGTACCCCCAACCGAAGTCCCGCTACCAACCACTGAGCCGGTTGTCCAGATGCACGGACCCATTCAGCCCATGATCTACGGGTTCCTTCCAGCACCGGTAGCCATACCGCCTGTGAATGTGGAACCTGAGGGTGCCCTACGATGCTCCACCAGGGTAAACTTTGGACAAACTCCAGTCCGTTATAGAGACTCATAACATGTTGCAGGGACTGCTAACTTTAAAGTGTGGGGAGATGTCACGGGGGGAAGTTTGATTTTATTTAAGCATGCTTTTACTTTGAATTTGCTGTGTTTGTCTTATTTATTATTGCATGCTTTTATTTTGAAGTGTGTTTGTGTTACGTTGGTTTTACTTCCCCACCGGAGACATACCTTAATCAAGCATAAGGACTTACACCTGGCACCCAGAGAGGGGAGTGACTGTTCTTGGATAAAAAGGACACTATGGAAGATACCCGAGGGCACGAGGGAGGACACAGAGGGCACGAGGGAGGACACGGAGGTCACAACGGGCCGGACAGCAGGAAGCAGACAGAGAGACAGAGCAGATCATCGCACTGGAAGAGGTCTGAAGAGACACCGGAGCAAACACCGACCGTTAGCGGCTATAATTGGGAGAAGGTAAAACTTCTCCCTCCCGCGTAAGTCCCGTTTCAGACCGGTGTTTGTGTAGTGTGTAATATATAAAGTTGTGCCTTGTTAAAGGACATTGACTGGCCCTGAGTTTCCCTCGACAGGCTGCCGAAGAGCGGAGCCAGGTGAAGAGCAGGTGGTCGCCACCAGAGACCCGCGACTGCCGTTGTTGACCTCCCACTCCATCCGTGCCACATTATTTTAGCTGGGTTTTAGTTGTTTGTGTTCTTTGTTTAGTTTATTTGAAGGTAGAGCTTTTAGTTGTTTTTACTTATTTTAAAATAAATTGTGTTCAACTGTGTTCCACTGGCTGTACTCATTGTTTTAAAAATAACACTGTTTACTGCTCTCCCCGACATAAAAGAACCTGTTTACCCTAACTTTAATTTGGTGATCCTAAGAGGTCCTAGGCCTCAGTTAAACCTAGGTGGCGTTGTCGGCACTTGTGTTTTAATTTATCCACCCTTAGCACGGCTCACACATGCACTACCAGGTAAGCTACCGGGTGCTCCAAAGGAGTGAGTTTAACCTAAAAATGCTGAATGATTATGATCATTTGTTTAGAATTTAACAAAATGTTATCTTTATCACAAGAAAAATATGTTGTTGTAGAAAAAATTATCACATAGCATTGCTATTAAATGATTGTCATAATCAGATTAGTTCCAGGAACTTACTAACTGGCTGTATGGTGGTGAGGGTGTTTTTGATTGTGCTGCCAAATTCCTTTGAAACCTCCAGTGAAGTGTCATAGGTGTGTTTGTCTGCAAGAAGCAAAGTCACATTAAGAGACATTTGTAATAAGTATGACAAAGGGAAGTGATAGTGAACTAAAAGTACTGGCCCATTACCAGAAAGACTGTTTTTCAATCATCAGTATTCTCACCCGGCTATAGGTCGAAAAGCTGAGGGATCATGTCCTTGTCACTGGAATAGTAACTCCTAGACTACTTTCACACTCCAAGCAAAAGCGGAAAATATATTTGTTTGGCTCATATGCAAGTAACAAATTACAGTAATCAGATTACTGTTCTTAAATTCAGTAATCACGATATAGTTATTAATGACAGTTATGTTCTATAATTGTATAATTGCATAATGGCTTCCCGTGTGGACGTAGCCATACTTCCCGCCAGTAACCAGGGGGCTGCTTTTTTGAAAGGGCAAGACTAGCTTTACAAAATCAGAACAGAAACTGCTCATGCTACTGCAAGTAAGATAACTCAGGGAGGTGTTATGCTCAATCGGAACCAACTAAGATTTTATAGTTGTTTCCCAAAGCCCACCCAATCCGAAGTTGGAAAAGTGTGACATGACGTCTGTGAACTGTGACAGGATAGCCCAGACCACAACATCGTTGGGAAAAAAGCACGTCAGCAGTTGGGTCAGTACGCGTCTTTTTTGCAACATTAGAGGCTGTACCCTCAGCTCACTCAGGGACAGACTTGGATGAGCAAAAGTAAACACCATGATGTCAACATGTCTTGGTTTGAAAACAAGTCAGCACCCTCTTCAGTCCAAAAAACTCTTAATCTCAGTCATTGCTTCTGAATATTGCAACATCCTTTTTGTAGCTGTATAAAATGAGCACTGTTCCCATTAGGCTAGAACATTTTGTGGCAAAACTTTGATCAAACAACACAGATTGTTAACAGTATTTGTACGTATAAGTCTTACAGTAGCATGCTGGTTCTCTGCCAGTCCACTGGCCGTTCTCCTGACACACTCTTTCTCTTGACCCCACCAAAAACAGGTTGTTGTTGCAGCTGTACTCCACTGTGTCATCAATTCCAAATATGTTCCCTGTTCTTGAGGCGCCAGGTGGGATACCAGGGTCAGCACAATTATCCCCTGCTGTTGTGACAGAAATGACAAAAGTCAAACATAAATGAGGATGAATCCCAAATCTAAAAGAGAAAGGAGAGGGAGAAAGAAAGTAGGTTTCTGTTTAGGACTTACTGTCGTGGCTACAGATGGGAGTGGAGCCGCTCCACTTCCCGTTTGGTAAGCAAACACGTGTAGATGAGCCTCGCAGTGTGTATCCAGAGTAGCACTCATACGAGGTCTCATTGTCCACAAAGTACCTCTCCTGAGGAGGCGAGACGTCTCCATTCTCCAGCACATTGGGGTCTGGGCATTCAACAACTGCAAAGCAAAAGGATTTGTTATCATGTAGAGCAGGTCGCTTGAAGCAAAGTGAGAAACATTTCTGTCACATCACTCACTCCTGCATCTCTGAGGCTGAAATCTTTTGGGTGCTGGTTTCCAGGTGCCATTGGGCTGGCAGAGGCGGGTCAAAGCTGGGTATGGGTAGAAGCCCTTAGAACAGTTGTAAATCAACAGGCTGCCTGGTTCCAGCTTCTTGGTCAATTTGTAATCACCTCCTTCAATTTGTACACTTGCCACTGTGCAGTCACACCACACTCCACCTCCTGAAAAATAAAAGACCATTTTGGGGCATGGAGGTTTATTAATTCACTCAGATTTTTAAAAAGGTTCCCTCCAAAGGCACGTAAGACATTAAACAATATGTCAAAGTCATGACGCCTTTTTGAGAACATACACATTAGGGCTATATCTCGGCATTTTGTTTACTTCTGTGAACAAAACTAAATAAAACTGTTATTTTAAAATGTTGATTATTTAAGATCTAAATGTTGATGACATGAACTCAAGCTATATTCCTGGAGTCTCCACTCTCTACAGACTTGTCCTGCATTACAAAAGTATGCAGTTGAAACAGCCAAAGAGCTAATAGAACAATGGTAAAGCATCAGGGAGAAGGAAACACTGAATTGTCCAAAAAACAAACCTATGAAGTATTTAAGATTGTTAAAAAACAAAAAATATAACATAGAATTGTTAAAAAAAGGTCCTAAAAATCATCTTTGATGCAAAATTCACAGGAAATAATCTGCTCAAAATTCAGAACCCTGCAGTTATTGAGTTCACTTTGGGTGAATAGTCAGAGTCATCAGTTTACTGATTTAAAAGTTAATATACATTACATTATATTCAATTTAATTATACTATATATCATGATGTCAATATAATATAAGTAAAATAAATATGATATAACCCATAACACAATATTGTTTATTCTAACAATTTTTTCTAGTTTTTTTTATGTCTTTATACACAATTAAAATGAAAACAATTCTGGTGCAAGATAATGGCATAGTGTGGAAACGGTTGATAAGAGAGCAGGTTTAAGGCTTCATTTGTTGCAACAACACAGGTAACATTAAATTTATAGAAACTGCTGACTGTATTTTTTGTATAGAAGGATTTTAGTAATGGAAATATTTTTAAATGATTGTGCTTTTTTGTAGTACTTGAGGGTTGCAATGGCCCCAAACCAATTTGAGTTTGAGACCCCTGAATTAAACAATTAAGTGTTGAAAACAAGATTTGTAAGTTCCCACTACTAAACAGCATATATTAGGAACATTAAATGACTTCACATGCAGAAGTTTTCAGCAGCAGTATCCAATTTATAATTGCCATATTTTCCAATTGTACAAAATTGTTTAGAAAAATTAAATTGTGAATTACTTTAAAAATGTTTGACAAAAATCTTAACATTTGCAAGTTTACCATGTCTAACTTTGTTACAAAACTTGCTTCACTTACACAGCAAATAGATAAACATGGACAAATACATGACCATTGTGGATATTTGAAAGTCAAAATCATAAAATATATATCTTTTAAAAATATCTAAGGTAAAAGTAGCTCACCCATACAGAGGAGACACAAAAGTGCAGCAAGCCGACTCCAGTGGACAGAAAATCCCATGTTGAACGTTAAACTGGTGAATAAAAATTAGAAGATTTTGCAGGAGCTGTACTTTTATTTCAAAGTGGACAGTGACGCTCAGAAAGAGGGATGGAATAACTTTAGACCATCCTGGTACTTATTAACTTAATGACAAATAAAAGGTGATCAATATTGTCACAGGAAACATTCAAACAATTTCCCACAATGTCCTCACAATTGCATTCAACCTTAACAGCAGAGAGATTCAAACAGTTCAGTGTCAACTGGACTAATGAAGAAATAAGGACCTCTTGATTATATTTATTACTTACTATATTACAATTGTAAGTAGTAGTAGGTATTTCTTTAAATATAACTTGTAAAAACTGAAAACAAAGTCTAAGCTTCCTTCTCCAATTACTTGACTCTTTTCCTGTAAAATAACTCAATGAATTCAGTCTGGTAACCTGTTCTTTCTGACTGTTGTGATACATATTACTGTTTTGTGTGTCCTGACTATAAGTAGGCCACATCTACGTTTTTATCCTGAATTTCCAGCCATGTGTAAACACTTGGTCACATGTCACCTAAACAAACAACAGAGTAATTGTGAAACCTAGACAAAGTACAGGCATTTACTTAATTTCCCAAAACTGAGCATTGCTTATTGACACACTGATTCAGTTATTGATTGAACACCCCGGTCATACCAGATCGGTTTAGCTGAAGCGCTCTCTGACCCTTTAAGTTTCATCTTACTGAGCAGACTTAGTTCATGTCAAACAAAAGGTGTGACAAACGCTCTGTAAAAGCACTGTGAGTCAGCGAAAATACATTTTAAAACTTAAATGTCAGCAGGGGGTCACTTGAAGGTTGGAGGTTCTCGCGGGAGTTCGAAGTATCTTGATAATTCAGAAAAAAATTACTCAGAAAAACAGAAAAATTACTCAGAAAAACAGGAAAATAATTACTCAGAAAAACAGGGGAAAAAAAATTGTCAGAAAACCAGAGAAAATTATTTAAAAAAAATAAAAAATAAAAAATAAATTACTCAGAAAAAGTGAATGCAACACGCTTCTGTACCCCTCTGACCTCCATGGCTGAACTTTATTTTCAGTAGTGATGAAAAATCACAACTCACAATTCAACTTCAGTCTTTACTTGTGCAACTAGTGCTTTAAAGCATTATAATTTCTTTTTAGGTCTGTTCCCAGAGGGATGATGTCTCAAGTGATTAAGGCCAGATAATTTGGATTTGTCACTGTATTTGTGCTGAGATTTTACACAACTACACAGTTGTTTCCTTTAGTAAACCTTGTGGATTGTTAAATTCTAAACTCCTTAATAGTAAGTAAGTAAGTAAAGCTTTATTTATATAGCACCTTTTTGACACAGAGATCCAAAGTGCTTTACAAACAACAAATATACATATGGGTATAACCATACCCAATCACACAAACATAGGGAGCATGTGGGAAGGATAGATTAAAGAGACGACAGTTGGGAAAACAAACAAGGAGATCTATAAAAAGGCTTGCCTGTAGAGGTGGGTTTTGGGGAGCTGCTTAAAACAGTCCACAGATTCAGTGAATCTGAGTGATTGGGGAAGACTATTCCACAATGTTGGGGCTAAAACAGCGAAGGCACGGCCACCTTTAGTTTAGCAGTTAATGGATAAAAGGCTGAGATTTGAGGAGCAAAGTGGCCGAGGAGTGGAATGAGGAACAAGGAGATCTGAAATGTAACTGTGGGCAAAGTCATGAAGTGCCTTATATGTAATCAGTAAGATCTTATAGTTGATTCTGAATTTTACCGGAAGCCAATAAAGGGATACGAGAACAGGAGTAATGTGGGACCGGTGGCTGGTTCTGGTTAAAAGTCTGGCGGCTGCATTTTGTACTAACTGTGTTGTTTTGTAACATGAAGGTCAAATGTCATATACTGGTCGAACATGATACCCGGATTCTTAGCAGTGTGTTAGGCCGATGACATTTCCTGAACAAATTCATGCTTCCAAAAGGCCTAAACCCTGAGACCACATTGCCTCTTCTCTAGTGCCACCCTCTGGACAAAACACACTACAGGTCAGGCCTCATACAAAGTTGTCAGTATTTGTTCCATCCAACATTTTTGTGGCATGTAATAATATTGGTGGTAGGAACTTCCAACAGAAACTTTACACTTGTAACAGAGTGAATTGCAACATAGATGCTTCAATAAAAAGGCCACAGTAATCAGTGTGCGTTAACTGCCTTAACTGGCTATGTATTTGAGCATTTAATAAAACTAAAAGAATGGAAATAAAGGAGGAGAGGACAGACAGTCATACCACCCCCTGGGCATACTGTACCTGTGACAAAAAGCAAAAAAAAAAAACAACACAATTCAAATAAAAATAAAAACACAGTACTAATAAGAAGTGAACTCCCAGTACTCCTCCACACTGTGACTGGAGGCCACCAGCCACAGCACTAGAAACAAAAGACAGAATTAAAAGCCTAAACTATATAAAACCAACTACAAAGAATAAAAACTAAGATACCACAACTAAAACACACTAAAATACAAAAAATAAACAGCAGTCAAATATTGTATGAGGTACAAATAATTTACAAAGCTACATTAACACTTACACACATCTTGCTGACAATTATTCCTCTCTTTCAGCCTTTCTACCTACAATAAAGTTATGGCAGACCCACTGTTACAATAAAATAGAGACATGGAGAGAGCAAATAAAGCAACACAGTCATTCTGCAGTGTCCACACCGGCTGCCTGCGAGCCTACCTATCACTTTGTGGCTCTCACCTGATTGGCCACATCCCCTATAGGACTTCTAGTGTTTCCTCTGCTACAGACCTTTAGGCGATTAAAGCCTCTTTGTTTACAGGTTTCAATATTGTACATATTGTCAAACCACTGCTCTTATTAGTTATTTAACAACAACTGACAGTTGCACTGTATTTCATCAACAACAATAAATTTTTTTAAATATAAATGGGGGGGGCTAATTGTATGCAGTTTGGGGCAACAGTGTGCGAAAGCATGAGTTGGTCGTCCAAATGGGTAATATTAAAATAGTTTTATTACGTGACAAAAAAAAAAAAAAAAAAAAAAAAAATTTTTAGGAAAAAAAAGAAAGAGATTGCTCATTACAGTTATTAATTATTATTTTGCTTAGAAAATGTTTTCTTAGTTTTAGTTAATTAGTTTCTTAAAAAGTTTTTTTAGTTTAGTTTCAGTGTTTTTGTTTTATTATAATATGAGGGTATTTGTCAGGTGCAAGATTGAATAATAATAATTATATGCACCAGTGACTGGTCATAAAGACATTTCCTATATATTATTACTTTAATTTAGTAGGTTTAGGTAAACAAAATAGTTATTTATTTTGTAGTTTTTACGTTTATCAGACCTCATTTTAATTTTTTGTTCTGTTTTTGTTAAGTATGATCAACTTTAAGCTTTATCATGTTTTCTTGCACATTAGTTTATTGTGTTTTATCTGCCACAGGGGCATCCAAGAGGGCACTATTTAAGCGTTTCTACTCTAAAAACATTTTTCAGTGATTAAGATAACAAATGTAGAAGATTGAGCAGGTTTTCTCAGTTCTTGTGTATGTATAAGTCCAATGAGTAGGAATTCGTATTGCATTTAGTCTAAGTATGAATTATCATGTATGATATTATTACATGGACAAACGGCCGAGACGCCAGTAAAAACACTCGAAGAAGAAGAAAGGGAAGCGGAAGTGACGAGCATGGCGGAAGTCATGGCTGGAGAAAAACAACAACGCGCCAAATTTGTGTCAAATTCACTGCAGTCACTGGCTCGGGACACATGAGAGAGTTTGTCCAGTCTTTTGCGGATACTTGTTGCTGCCCGACAAAGGCCGTGCAGGTAAGATAGACTCCTTTTACAACTCGTTTGGTTTCAGTGCCTCGTGTGAGTTCACGTGAAGGACATCATCCTCCATTACAGAGTAACGTCACCAGATAAAGTGGAAATATATTCAGTGACAGTATCTGCCTGTAGTAGAGTAAGAGGCGTGAGTGAACATTAACCTGTCTGTGAGTTTATATATATAACTTATATATATATATATATATATATATATATATATATGTGTGTGTGTGTGTGTGTGTGTGTGTGTGTGTGTGTGTGTTTCTGTTTCTGTTTCTGTTTTTAGCATGGCTGTGCCTTTCGTGCAAGACTGGGACCTTGTTCAGACACTGGGAGAAGGAGCCTATGGAGAGTATGAATCCTCCTTTTATCTGTATCTGTCATAGCAGAGCATCTACACACACACACACACACACACACACACACACACACACACACACACACACACATATGGTTTCAGTATCTTCTGGACATTTACAATGCAACATGAACTGCAGATGATGTGGTTAGCAAATAATGAATCACTAGAGACTTGAGCGGCACATTTCTGCAACTTGCTCACCACAGGGCTTTCTTATACATTTATAAAGTTGGAATAAGAGCAAATAAAAACTACTTGTTAATCTAAGAGGTCAATGAGATTTAAAAAAAAAAAATGCTCATTAAAAGTAGGAGGAGAAATTTAAGAGCTCTTCTTCATCTGCGGGTTTTTTTTTTGTGATTTTAGTGATTGCATTTGCTGTAAATATCCCTGTTTTGTCTATTAATTAAATCAGTGTCATGTTTGTAGACATATTGACTTCTTACACACAATTCAGTCAGGAAACTCTTGTTTATTGCAACAATAGTTTATCAGTGTGGCCGTGCTCATGTGATGCTCTGCAACACATCTGACCCTAACCTTGTGTTTTTACTGGAAGAGCTGACGTAGACACTCTTTCCTCACATTCCCCTTCCACCACTGAAATATGTACGTACTTAGTTAACGCAAGAATACAACAAACATACATTTGGTGACTTTTCCTTGTTTGTTTCAATTTGTCCTTTAACCTCCGTGCTCTCTTGACTTTCTTCATCCATGTTTCCTCTTCATGTTCACGGTTGCAGAGTGAGGCTGCTGGTGAACAGACAGACGGAGGAGGCAGTAGCAGTGAAGGTGATCGATACCTCTCAGGCTAAAGAGTGTGCTGAAAATGTCAAGAAGGAGGTCTGCGTGCATAAGGTAGGTCCGTCACCTTCAAGTGTAGATGTATAACAGAGGTATTAACACTGAGTTTTAATGGCACTGAAACAGAAGGGTTTTGCATTACTTAGTAATGCTAGAAGGATACATGTGATATCTTTAAAAGATCACCTCTTAAATTGACTGGAGCTTAAATATGACAAGTAACTATTTTCTATTTAACTTGCACAACAATGTATTTACACATTTCATGTACATATTTTTCAGCTGCTTAATTGTTTGAAATTTGTCAAACTTTTGGTAGATGCTCAACCACCCCAACATCGTACGCTTTTTTGGCCATCGGAAGGAAGGTCCAACTATGTACCTCTTCCTGGAGTACTGCACCGGAGGAGAGTTGTTTGACCGAATTGGTGAGGCAAAGACAATATAGGACTGCTACGCTTGGAAGATGTGACCAATAATGGTCACCTGTATACATATTTATCATTCACTCTTCTCTTTTAATGTGACGTCTGTCATGAAGAGAATCACAACTATTCAGTTTTAGACCATCAGATAAAACTTTCATCCTCCGTTGTTGCCAGACTTTTAAATTTTACTTGGTTTTGCAGCATAAATCAGTGCAAGCAGTGAATGACTAGCAATGACTACCCAATTTACATTTATATTTATTATAGCATACCTGCTTAAATAAAGGTAAAATGAAATAATATGTGAGATTAGAAAAGGTGGCCAACAACTTAAGTTGATTTTTGTTTTTATTATGAACAGAGGACAGGCATTTGTAAAAGGAATTGTGATATAACAACACTTTTAAAATATTTTTGTTATTAATTATCTGGGCGTCCCCTGGTGGCTCACCTGGTCACCGAGGTTGAGTTCTTACTGCAGTGGTAGTAGTCGTGTTTGACCTGTGACCCTTTCTTGTTTATCTTGAGCTGTCCTGTCATTAAGATAATACAAATATGTAGTTATATGTTGCTGTGTAGTGGTTATTTATTTAGGTTGTTGAAATTATGTTCTCTCACTTTGATTTCAGAGCCTGATGTGGGGATGGCGGAGAAAGATGCGCATAGATTTTTCCAGCAGCTAATAGCAGCTGTGGTGAGTGAAAGAAATCTGTGTGTTGATGACCTTGCACCATTTCTGCTGTTATTAAACTCTCAGTTGCTCTGTTGCAGGAATATCTCCACAGTAATGGCATCACCCACAGAGACATTAAGCCAGAGAACATCCTGCTGGATGACAAAGGTGAGGAAATACAACGTTGTATCAAGGTGTTGGACTAACTTTGGTTTGCATTTATTATAACTATCATCTGCTGTTTTCCTTTTTAGATAACCTCAAGCTGACAGATTTTGGCCTGGCCACCATGTTTCGTTTCAAAGGACGAGAGCGTCTTCTGAGTCGACTGTGTGGGACTCTTCCTTACGTGGCTCCAGAGCTTCTCAGCCAAACAGAGTACAAAGCTCAGCCTGCAGATATCTGGGCTTGTGGGATAGTCCTCACTGCCATGCTGGCTGGAGGTAAGATCACAAAGTCTGTGTTTACAGCATGTGAACACACGTCCTACACTCAGTATGTGTGGTATTATTAGTAGAGAGACGTGAGGCAAAGCTACTGTGTGAGGTCAAAGGGATGGGCGCTTGCCAGTGTTATAAAAGTGGAGGGTTACAAAATACATTAAGATTTTTGACATAACTAAGGCTCAGTATCCTCTGATATGGTTCATTATCTTCTATTTGCTCTGTGCTGAGAAACTGTGGCCGTACAGACAAGAAGGTTAATGATTTAAAACTGCACCCGAAGGTTGACAGGGGGTGTTGTGTTACTGGTATAACATTTTTGTAACACAAAAAATATTAAACAAAACTTGAGGATAATTATACCAAACAAAATGGTTAAACACTTACTAGCTATATCAAAATACAGTCACATGGGGATAATTTGACCATGATATACAGTCAGAAGTCATAAAGTCGTAATTGGAGGATTTGAGTGGAAATGGCACGATCTCAACAGAAATTGTGTTTTTATTTCACGATACATTATTGATATAGTTAACGTACAGTGAAATGGTCAGGCTGGTTCCAAATCATTTCCATACAGTACCATTTCAGTGTAATTGGAAACAAGACTAGGTTGTAACCTATTAAAGGGCTGGACCGTGTATGGTCAATGCGCTCCTGTGGACTGTCCACGCCGCAGTTGTGAATCCCTCAATTTGTTTTTTATTTTTTATTTTTTCTACTTCAGTATTTTTTACTATAATATGTATTCAACCTTTATTTCATTAGTATACATTCACTCTGTGGTAGTCTATTCATGGTCAGACTTACATATATAATTATTATTTTCCAGGTCAGATTTGTTTGCAATGTGACCTCCGTGTGAACAGTCATATCAGAACTCGTGTGACTTTTATGTCACTCCAGATCTTCGTTCGTCATGCGGGTCACTTCAGGACTGTGACCTGTTCACACTGGATTCTGATATGGGCCACATTCAACAAATAATGTAAACAGCAAAAGAAAAAATCTGATCTGAGCATTGAATCAGAATTGAGCGCTAAGGCTTGCAGTGTGAACGTAGCCAAAGATCGTCCAAAGGGCTGAAATAACCCAATTATGGTATAACTGGCAACTCGTGATCAGAGCTTTCTGCAGTGCAACTTCCTGAGCTATGTCTTCTCTTTACACCTCTGGCAGCACTGTCTGTATGCAGTAGATGTGTGGAAACATTTTGTCACTGTCTTTGTGTTTTCAGAGTTGCCGTGGGACCAGCCCTCTGAGAGCTGTCAGGAGTATTCAGATTGGCTTCAAAAGAAAACATACCTACCTCCTTGGAAGAAAATACAACCAATGCCTCTTAGTGAGTCCCAAATTATATAAGTTTAAATACTGCATGTTCAGAATAGTCCTTTTGCTTTATTTAATATACGTTCATCTTCTCTCCAGGTTTGTTGTCCAAATTACTGCTGGCCAGTCCAGATACACGCATCACCATCGCAGACGTACAGAAAGATCGCTGGTTTACTCAAGGCAAGTGTCAATATCAGTATAATAGAATCAGTTCAACTTTAAATTTGATGTTCACTGTACTGATGTTCTGATCTCTGTAGGTGTAAAACAACCACCTCTGGGCTCTGGAGGAAACAAAATTCTTCGATCAGATGTGGGAGTCATATCCCGGGCCAACAGGTCAGAGCTTTGTGTGTTTCTTATTTTTAACTCTCAGGTGTATTTCTTTTGTGTGCCTGTAATATTAAGACCACATTCCTCCCTTTTTATAGTGATGACAGGATGCAGTTTTCCAGCTCTCAGCCTGATTTTGCGGCAGGTTGCTGGGAAGCAATGTTGGTAATAGGCCAAACTGACGGTCAGGTCAGCTTCTCTCAGCCGACCAAACCGGAGCACATGTTGCTGGGTAGTCAGCTACTGGGCACACCGGGAGCCAGTCAGGTAATTTACACACTCAGTGCTACATCAATTTGTAATTTCTTTACAGAATATATCTGACAGTGTGTGTGAATTTTCAGCAAACTGGCAACTTTATATTTTATGAAATCCTACCTGAAAATGTCACATTGATGCATTAATGCTGTCACTTTGTCCTAATGTCTCTTTACTTCCCGTGTAGTCGCCGTGGCAGAGGTTAGTGCGGAGAATGACGCGTTTCTTCACCAATGTGAATGCTGACGCTTCCTTAACTGCCCTGAAAGATGCCTGTGATGGCCTGGCACTTGCCTTCAAACTCGCCTGCAACAAACAGGTACATATGTACTCAAGTATACAGGAATAAAAAATTTAGAGGTTAAATGCACTCTTTGACACTGAACCTCTCTCTGCTTGTTTAGGTGACGGTGAGCACACTGGACAAACGCAACAACAAACTTATCTTCAAAGTCCATTTGCTAGAGATGAACCAGAGAGTGCTGCTGGACTTCAGACTGTCTAAGGTGGGCTTTAGCATTTCTAAATAGTAAATATAGTGTTTCTAACATGAATAATCCATTACCTCATTCAAGTTGAGACAATAGGGTAATTACCACTAGGCACTGTCTCTAAGTGTGCTACTGACCCCAAAAAAGAAAATAATGGAAGAGGTAAAGAAGCAGCAATATCCTGTTTGTGAGAAAAAGCAACAAGCCTTTTAGGAAATGTTCCCAACAAAACGACTGCAGTGCAGGAATGATCATTCTCCCACTCAGCATAAATAATATTGCAATATCTATCAAAATATTTGCAATATGATGTTATTACCGCATCGCGCCACCCTACTCACAGGGCTGGTTGGTGCCCTAATGTAAGAAACACACACAAAACGTGCAGTATCCAGATCTATCAGTACTTGTATCTTCATCCAGCATTTAAATTAATCTGTTTGTTGCTTGAGTTTGAGAGTTTTACTATCCTCAGAAGGCTTGTTTATCTTCCACCCCACAGATTTAGCATCCATTTGAACATATTATATTATATTATATTATATTGCATATATTAGAAACTAAACTAAAAAACAGTATGAACAAACTGCACCTAATCACCTAATGGGTACGGTTGTGTGAGTGCACGTTTTCTTCAGGGAGATGTTGACCTGTATCTGTGTGTTTCCAGGGTGACGGTCTGGAGTTTAAGCGTCTCTTTGTCAAAATAAAACAGAAGCTCGGCGACATCATCAGCACTCAGAAGATCACATGAGGAGCTTTTTTACAAACAAGTGAACACTGCTGTGGACTTTGGAGAGAGAACCTGTATATATTTAGCTGTTCTATTGAAAGTGTGTTTGTTTGTTTTCTTCTACTTCTCTCCTTGTGAGTTAAGAGTGTGGACATTTTGTCAAGTCCTCACTTTTTTTTAAGGGGTTAGTTATTTAGTTTAGTTTAGTGTTAGAATATAATGTTTGTCAAAGGTCGGTAAACTTAGGGATGGAAGCGTTTGTGTCCTCCTTCTGCCTTTTGTTCTGATAATGTTTGACATGATACAGTCCAAAGTCGTGAATAAATTATTAAAGGAGCAACATTGTAAGCTGAATGTTCTTTGATAAATGATGCATATAATGAAGATGACCACTGACTCAAAAGCATTGTTTTAGGGTTCAGTGTGAGGTGCACCCATTTTTAACAGCAGGGCCTGTCAAGTCATGAGGTACCATACTAAAACAAAATGTTTCCCTTGTTAAAAAATACTGTTACTATTCCAGGTTAAAGCACAACTGAAGGAGTCTATGATATGATTATGAGCCTGTTGCCGGGCACGTATAAGCTGGGTCACCATATTCTTCCCCACAACCAAGTCTGCAACTACATCTGACTAAAAGTGTGTAGCATTGGGAGTCAGCATCTTGCTCAAGGACGCTTTGACATGCAGCGCATTAGAGGTTGTGGTAGTAATAATAGCAGTAGTAATACTGAGAGTGGCAAAGATAATATTACCATTAGTGTACATTTATTTTTGTTTGTTCCCCGAGGCTCCTCCCTTTCTGGCTTTCTCTCTCTCCCACCCACTTTGGAGACTTCTTGCTAGTCTGATACACATACCTTGTAGTCTTGTTTTCTGGCTGGAATTGTCCTCTGTTCACTGTTTTGTTTTCCTCTGTTGTCCTACATTGTATGATCTTTTGTTTTAAATATTTTTGTTGACCAATGCCAGATACAAATTTGACAATGTGTGACACTGTGATTCTGAGACTTTTATTTTGATGCAATGTTCCACAATGTGACAGACACAAAGAACCAACAATGGACACACGCATACAATTAAAATCCATTTAGATAAGCATTCGCTATATACATACATATTACAGTATGTAAATTAATTTAGCTCTCCAAAAACGTAAGTGGTGCATAATCATCCTGGTTATCATTTCCAAGGATAGATTTAAGAAAAGGAACAACTCTGAATAGATTAATATGGAAATCTCTGGAGGTGCCATCTGACTCAATGACCCCACCCGTCCTGCACAGAGTCTTGGTTCCCCAGCTGACCACTGCAACCTGTGAAAAGAAGAAGAAAGAAGACATTGTTGGTTACTTGACATTGTCAACAAGAACCTAAATTAATAATAATAATTAAATTCTATTCAAATCACATAATTCATTTCAAAATAGTTTTATTTTATTTTATGATTTGCAGTTTGACAAATAACACATTTTGGTAATTTGTTTTCATTGAAAAGATGGCTTGAGGGATGTCAACAGTTGAAAATAAATTAATCAATGTGTAACTTGTCAAGGGGTGGCTAAACTTTCACATACAACTGTATTTGCCACCAGGTGATATACTGTTGAATACATGGAAAAGAACAGCTGTTTATGGGTTCCCTAGTAGCGTAACATAAAGACCGAGTCCTTACTGCAGTGGCCTGTAGTGCTGCATGTCATTCCCTCTTTCTCCCTGGCCTTTCCTGTTTCTCTATACTGACACTATCCAAAATAAACTACAATGCCCCCCCCCCCAAAAAAAAAACAAAACAAAAACAAAAACAGTAAGAAACAGCTCTTTACCTGTATTGTGCGATGCTCATAGTTCTTGAACAAAGCACCTCCTCCGTCACCTGTCACAACACATACACACACATACATGGTTACAGTCAAAAATGATCAGTTACTGATCTAAAACATAAAGCGTCTTAACTTAATAACTGAGTCTAAAAAAATTGCATTTGCACATTTATTGGGATATTCCAGGGTGTTTTACAATTTACCTTACTTACCTTATAACTAGAAGGTACTCCTGAAGTGTGGAATTATCTTTTATACAGCAACATACCTGTACACGCTATATGATCTCTGAAAGGAGTCCGACCACCAGTGCACAGGAAGTTATCAGTCACAACGTCTGTTACAACATCAGTGTTAATGCCTGGTGCCTGTAGTGCATGTCTGATGCATTCATCTCTCTGCAATGAAGTTGAAAGAAGAACCAAAGTGACTTTGAGTAAAAAAGATAATCAAGAAAGCAGGCACACATTGATCATTTAAACAATAAATATTTAAAACTCACATTAGTGCCAAGCTTAGCATGGACTTCTTTTTCATCTACTATGTTTTCTGTTCTGGTCAGGAAAGTGAGTCTTTCAAGATGGTCTTTTAACAGTAGCTGCTCTGTATGAACAGAACACAAAATATTAATTGTATTTGAAGCTCCAGTGATATTTTATTTTAACTGCAAGGCCACTGAATCAATACATTGCAGTGCATTAACAATTAACAAATGGTTTATAACACACCACACTTATCATCTATATGATGCATCTGTAAGATGAAAAAATGAAGGACAATTGACTGTTTGTCACAACCTCCCCCCTTACAGCAATTATTATAGCTTAGCAACCCTAACCAGGTGCGGTATGTCTCTCAAGCTTTGGATTTCCCTACATATTGATGCAGTCTGAATGGGGCTTTAGTAAAAGCTGGGATGGTGTGTAACCATGTTACCTACAGAGGAATTTCCAAAATGAAGGAACATTTTATTTGCATTAACTAACAAAACTTTGGAACAATTTGGTTACAGGAAACAAAAGTGGTAGCCGGTCCTGGATTCTATCAGATTTCTGTCTTGATCTGAACTGTATTTGGGGAGGTTTACACTCCACCAACTCCCAAAAACGATCTGAGCGCATGGGGTCAGCAACTTTTACTATCAAAAGTGTACTACCATATTTTTAGTAGTAACAGTATCTTACATTAATGGTTATGGGACAGCTGAGTTGTTTGACAGTGTTGTATGTTGGTAAAGTTACCTTACCTTGTTGCTTGCAGGTAGAATCAGGAACCAATTGTAGAGCATTTCTGGTCTCCACAGTGCAAGGTATGCAAATAGGTCTGAACGAAAGACCAAAAACAATACAACATGTTCCAAGTTAATAATATTTAACACAGTATATTTATTTATAAAATTGCAGTATTACAAATGTAAAGATTTCTCGTGTGTGTGTGTGTGTGTGTGTGTGTGTGTGTGTGTGTGTGTGTGTGTGTGTGTGTGTGTGTGTGTGTGTGTGTGTGTGTGTGTGTTTGTGTGTGTGTGTAACCTAGAATGTGGCATCAAATCCAAGAATAAACAAATTCTTACCTAACAGAAGTGGAGATTTGAACAGGTTTTTCCAGTTGAATGAGAGCCACATCATAGTCATAAAACTTGTTCACTTTCTTGTCCACTTTAGCAGTAACATTGTATTTTGGGTGTATCATGAAGGTTTTAACTTTTTTAACTGTAAAACACAATCAAGGGTTAGTAGTATTACTGTTTAAAATTTGGTCAAACTTATTTTTGAAAATGCAAATGCTGGACTACAGCAAATATAAAATAATTCATAAGGTTAGGTTTTGACTTGGACACTACAAAAGCAAATAAAAACCAAAGCAAATTTAATTTGGTACTGCTGTTCAGGTACCTGGAGAGAAGCTGCATGAGAATACATTAAATAAACATACACATCATCATTACCTCTGCCCTGTCCATCATCAATCTCAATTCTGACATGCTCCGGCAAATCTCCAAATTTTAAGCAGTGAGCAGCAGTCAAGATAAACTCGCGGCTCACCAGAGAGCCGAGGCATTTCCTTGGATCTTCATTCTTACGTTTTAAAGGATAAATAAGTATATAATATAGTTAAGTAGTTATATAACACACACAAGCAAGAACAACATGGCATTGTGGTCCATTAAATCTTACATCTGCAGGTCTGACTCCACTGTGTTCTCACTAATCCAAATATTTCTACATGAAAATTAAATTGTTTTAATGAAGTTAAATGAAATGCTGAAACATTCACCTGGATGGCAACAAGTGCCATCCATGGATACATTTTCTGCTTGGCATCTCTCTCAGTTGTATCATACTCCACATGCAGACCACATAGACCCTTAACTTCATCTTCATCTGCATTAAAAAAAACACAACAAATTTAGTCTTGCTCATGTTCATGGATGCAAATACATCCTTGGTATAGAGATACAGGTCAGTTTATAGAGTAAAGGCTCAATGTTGAAACATTGAAATCATTTTTGTAATGCTAAAGTGACTTACATTTTTTTTTTTTCAATCACATGAATGCGATGGTAAATAACAAAAGCAAAGATGCGTTACCAATTATCTCATCAAAGGTCTCTTGTAGATTTTCAATGTCCCTCAGTCTGAAGTAATGTTTGCCACCGGTCCCAACTGTGAGGGGCTGCAGGTCATCATCAAAGATCTCAGCTCCAATGGCAAACATATAAATGTCTGTAGCAGGTTGAAATGTAACATGATAAATTAGGCTCCCTTTGCTGCATTAAAACACATTCTGATCCTCAAGCTGTTAGCTAGGGGTTACCGTTACTGTATAACAACAAAATGTTGCTGACAATGTAGCAACAACATCAACAATGCTTAATGATGACTATAATTACTGCCTCCGCCACTCACCTGTGAAGTCACGTCATTCTGATGATCTGCAGTAAGTGAATGGCAGAATGGAAGAGACGGAAAGATGAAACCCATACTGTGCTAGTTATTGTTAAGTCACTGTGTTGTCCCAGTCAATATGTCAGTCAATTGGTTCATTCATTCTTAACTTATTTGGAGCCCTAACAGCCCTGAGTTATGGTGTTGAATAATGGCCACATAAAGTGTTTTCTGGGACAATATGATCACAATGAAGTTGAATTGTGACCTTATGGATAAAAAATGTCATCACTGTTCCATTAAACGTCTGTGTGAAATTTAGTCATTATCACAGCATCAATTCTTGAGTTATGACCAAGGTCAGAGTTGCAGTGACCTTTAAGTGTCAAAAGTCAAAACTGCCACTAATTAATTGTGACACTCATTCATTCTTGACCTTTGACCACCACACTCTGATCAGTTCGTCCTTGAATTCAACTGAATGTTTGTGCTAAATCTGAAGAAATTCCCTCGAGGTGTTTCTGAGATATTGTGTTTACAGGAATTGGACTGACAGATATACGGATGGGCAGGGGTGCGGGCAGATTGCCGGACAGGAGGCATAAGAAAACTCACCAAGATATTGTTCTCTC